GGGGGTTATTCAAACAATGTTTTAAAAAAACCTAAAGACAAGGGTGTGGTAGAACCGAAAAAAAAAAAAAAAAAAAATCTAACTGCAGTGATTCAAATGTACCCTCTATCTTTTTTTAAAAATTTTAAATCTATATTTGAAAATCATCTCTACTGGTTCATGGGACAATCGGAAAATGCTTCCGCTTCGTCTTTTTTTCCGCAACGCAACGCAACTTTATCAACTCCTGTTTCCTTCCGAGATCGAACGCCGTAGCTGGCGATTAACCTGCCTTCTGATATATATATATTTTTTTTTTTTTCAGAGAAAAGCAAAACACAGAGGCAGAGAGCGCAGCGGCATCAGGAGATTGCGAGAGAAAAAAAAGCTGTTGATCGCCCCCTAGAGACAGACCTGGTCCTTAAAGTGGCCCTAACTAACTAGGTTGAAAACAATTTTTGCAGTTTTCTTTCAAAAAAAAAAAAATATATAATTGAATATTAAAAATATGCTAAATTATTGTGCAGTTTATAAACCCAAATGTTGGGACAAAATTTTTTCTAAATTAAGAAATAAAAAATAATAATAATTTTATAATAAGTCCCTGTCAATTATGTTTTAGTAGATACTTACAAAATCTTTTTTTCTTATTTTTTTCTAATTTTTTTTTTTACATTTATCTGCTTCAAACTGCTTCCTAAGATATTCCTAGCTAAATTGAAATAACTCTATTGAACAATTCGCTTGTGGTCCTCCCATTACTGTTGATATAAATGTCTGGTTTTATAGGCTAAAGCTACGCCGTTCACTTTTTTTAATTTGAAAAATTGTTTTCATAATATGACATAATAATCGTTCGAACCAGTAGCGTTTACGAGATTTTAAAAATTTTAAAAATCACGTTCATTCCCTTTATTTTGTCAAAGACTACTGCAGTCAACTACACTCTGATTGGATTAAAAGATGAACCACTGCTCAACGTGCTTGTCTCGACTGTCATAGCTGGACTCATGTGACTTTTCTTTTATCTGCTTTCTAAAGCCCAAGGGGTCATTTAAAACTAGAGATAAAAAAAAAATCAAAAAATCTCGAAAATTACCCCTATTATAGTCTCTCTTTTTTTTAAGGTATCAAGAGGGAGGAAGGGTGAGCAGGGGAGGGGGAGGGGCAAGGCTTGCCTCTGTACCTGATAAATGCTCTCCTCTGACTGGGGGCCATGGAGGGGTTCGTGTCCAGCCTCAAAGACTATGTACTACAGAACAGGAGTAGTCGGCAAAGTGAGAGAGAGAGGGAGGGAGAGAGAGAGAGAGAGTAGCACAAAATAATGAGGTAAGAGCAGAGAAAGAGAAAGGAAAAAAAAAAAAAAAGAGAGATTGGCATATAAAACATATATACAACCAGAAGGTGGCACTGATGTGAATAAATGAAAGCACAGCAGAGGGTGAGGTTGGCGTGGAATGAAGAGCAAAACAAGATCATAAATAGAATTTTTTTTTTGTTTTTTTTTCCCCCCATCGTTGCTCCGAGTTCCATGGAGAGAAATGAATGGGAGAAAAAGGAAAGGAAAAAAGGCCTGAGACCAATAGGAAAACGGCACAGGAACAAGATGACTCACAAGTCCTTAAACATGTCATTCATTTGTCATAGATATCAAATTAAAGGAGTCATTCGATATTTTTTTTTGAAAGGGTGCGGGGGGGGCACACACACTACTTCACTCTCTCACAGGGGTATTTAAAAAAACCTGTTTCATGCATACGTTAATTCTGGTCTGTAATTCATTACTTATTTACCGCAAATAATTGATCTTTGAGCTGTGCAACTTCCATTGTTCTACATGGGGGGGTGTCAAAAATACGCTTGCGGCGGAGAGTGTGGGGGGGGGGGGGGGGGGGGGGGGGGGGGCACACACACTACTTCACTCTCTCACAGGGGTATTTAAAAAAAAAAAAAAACACACCTATACCCGTTTCATGCATACGTTAATCCTGGTCTGTAATTCATTACTTATTTAACGCAAATAATTGATCTTTGAGCTGTACAACTTCCATTGGTCTACATGGGGGGGTGTCAAAAATACGGCCCGCGGCGCCAAAACTGGCCCGCTGGGTGGTTCAATTCGGCCGGCTTGATGAATTTTGAAAATTAAAAAATTAAAAAAAAATACACAAACCCTTCATGTTCGTACGGAGCCCCTAAAGGGACATGGGGGAAAAAAAAAAAAAGTGCATTTTTACATTTTTACATTTTGTGGGTGCGGCTTATATTCAGGTGCGCTCAATAGTCCGGGAATTACGGTAATTTAGTAATTAAATTAAATTAAAAAGTAACAATTGTAACTTCAAAACCAATGCTATACAGCTAGCTTCATTGCCTCTATAAATGGATTTTTGACTTTAGCAAAAACTGCAAAACCTCTAGGAGAGTTAATGACCAATAAACACGAATCATCCACAAAGGCTAGCCATCAATGTGAAACCAGCTTCTCAGACAGAAATGACAAATAATTTCCAGACTTCAACACAGCAATGAAGAGAGAGAGAAAAGCAAGGAGATCTGGGCATTCAGAGGAAAGGTTAGCGTTGTCTGTATTCAGTGTGAGCTAGCACAATAACAGAGAGAAAAAAAAAATTTGAAAAAGAAATATCATGTAATCAGCCAAATAAAAGTAACTGGGTAACAGGGAGTTTCCCTTTGGGAAGAAATCAGAACATATACATAAATCAACTAAAAAAAAAAAAGAAAAACGTATGGTTTTACAACACTGCAAAATGGGAGTTAATGGTTGAACACAATACTGTCCACTACGATGATCTACTGTGCATTTCTGGAAAGGTGGAAAATCAGGAGTTTTAACAAAGGTTTAGCAGTAAAGCACCAGTTAAGCTAGTCTGCAGTGTTTGTGTTTCCTGCGCTGTGTGACCCACCTGGTAAACTGGGTCATCAACTTCATCCTCCAGGATGGTCTGTGCAGGTTTGGAACAAAAGGGGAGATTAAACCTTTTTTTTTTTTTATATACTGTAATAAAATGTTTTTTTTTTTTTTTTTAATACTGTAATAAAATAGATAAACATAGCGTCGAGCAACAGCCGAACGTCTTAGTGTTCAAACAAGCGGGATAGTAAAAAAAAAAATAAATAAATAAATCAGACAAATATATACAGTGTTCCCTCTCTATATCGCGGTTCTCGTTTCGCAACCTTAGTACATCGCGGAGAGAGTTTGAAGCTAATCGCGGTATTTTACGGTAATTTTTGAATTCCCAATAGTTTCATTATTTTCATAATAAAAACATTTTCTTAGCTTAAAAAATGTAAAAAATATAGCAAAAAATGAACTAAAAGATATCGCTGGTGGCTCTGTTTACCTAGAGGAGATCGAACACAGCATTGTGTTCCTCACGCTGATTGACTCATGTTTCATTACATCTCTCAGCATCTCCCCTTGTCTGTGCTCTTGTGTTTGATCGTCTTCTCAGGCTTCTGTTACGAAGCCCAAACGAAGACGCCGACACAGATGACAGTTAAAAGCCTTTGTTTTTCTTTACAATAATGTTCACTTCTGTGCTGAGCCCGGCTTTCATATACGGTCTGTCCGTCTTGGCCAGTGTCACTCCTCTGTTCACTGTCTCCTGCAGCTGAGCGCTAACCTCCGCCACGTCATGTATTTCATTTATTTACGTATTATGTATGTCTTATATTTCCATTCTACAACTCTACTGTGCATAACATTGTGTGTGAAAGGGTAATACAGTCTAGGGAGGGTTGATAACATATACGTAAATAATACAATAACTATATCGCCTCTACTACGCGGATTTTCCCTTTTCACTGTGGGTCTTGGAACGCAACTACCGTGATGGTGAAAGTTAACCGAAATTTAACGCCCTACGAAAAAACCACAACAAAAAAAAAAAAAACGTGTGATCTCACCTCTGAATGGAAAGCTGAAAGTGAGAATCTAAACAAGGGCTCAGAGCGTCCTACCTGGTAAACCGCCTGCTCACACTGCTTGTCCTTCTGAGCCTTCTTCTCCAGCTCCTCGCGCTGTTTTATGTCGTAGATGAGCGTGAACAGGTCGCGAAGGTCGATGATGAGCGGCTCGGCCTGGAAGGAGGAGGAGGAAGATAAATGACATGTAAAAGTCAAGCTCAAAGGCTAAAATGCTGAAATGCTTTTATCATTTTCGACGCCATCTACTGGGGAAACGTGGGTATTGCAGGGGGAAAAAAAGCAGAAGTATAATGATAATATAAATAAATTATAAAATTCGGACAGCTGAACAGGCCGCATCCGGCCCCCGGGCCTTAGTTTGCTCATGCCTGCCCTAGATTGTGAGTCAGACTGATCAGACACATAATTTCCCTACCATCGGATTCCCTAATTGACAGCAGGAAGGGACTAGCATGGTGGCTAATGGCAGAAAGCGCATGAGATAATAATCGCTGAAGCCGACTGCGTGGTCCGTGCCCATGTGGTTAGCAGGGTTACTAGGTGACAAATACATTGGCTTGGCCATGACAGCTTAACTAGAGCAGCAGATGTCATCTTTTAGCACTGGATGGAGTATTGCGAGTACTGAGCCTCGCAGTACTCTACTGTAATATGCAGCACTAAAAGAAACTTGTATCTCAAAGTACAGCGTATCTCGAAAGCATTTTCCACGTTAAAAATATCTAAAAAAAAAATCTTCGAAACTCGTATTTAGCTAGTGTCTCGAAGCCCAACTGTACTGTCTGCCAGGTACGGTCACGTACACAGAATTTTTTTGTTTTTGTTTTTGTTTTTGGCGCTCACCGACTGCGACGTCTTGATGGCCACAAACCTGTGGTGGCCCTCCTTCCCGCAGACGTAGCCGAAAGCCCGGTGGTCTCTGGTGTCCTTGGCAATGTAACTTATTTCATGGACCGAGTGGTGATGTAGGAGAACCTGGGGGACAAACGCAAGGACAACAACAATTCACATATTTGTCTATAGGGGGTTTTCAAATGTGTTTTAAAAAAAAAAAAAAAAAAAAAAATGGATCCCTGATTGAAACACAATTGATTGGAAATACTGCTTTAAAAAACATAAAAAATAATATGAAAATATTTATTTTTTAAATGTAATTAGGAAATGCCTTCTGCTGGGTCTCTTAGCACAAACAGGAAAGGCTTTTATTGAAATATTAGATGACACCCAATCCCGGGTTATGGATATTACCAAAGTAATACGACAAATCTGGTTCATCCCAAACCGGCTCACGTCAGCTTTACTGCACGTGAGGTATTTACTTGACTGCGTCGCGGTGATCCGCGTTTTTTTCTTTTTCTTTTACCATAATCACTCAAGGGAGATATTAAGAGCCTGTAATCGGTAAATAAAATGGCGAGTGAAGAGTTGATTTCCCGAACCGACAAATGATCCTGTCAGAATGTGGCGAGCTACTTGGCGGCGGCGGGAGCCCTAATGTTCGGTTTCATTAAAGGCTAGAAAGAACAAGCGGCCATTACCATCACTCTTTGTATAAAGAGATATAGATATTATCATTGGTGTTGGTGGGGGGGGGGGGGGGGGGGGGGGTGGGGGGGTGGGTTGGGGGGGGGATGCGGCCGGGTGCGAACGCCGATAGCTCATTATGCAGAGGTGGAGCAACGGTGCAATTAGCATTAGTGGCAATGATCATTAAGGGGGGGGGGGGGAATGGAGTGGTAATTATCGGTCAGGACTGACGAGCAGCGAGGGCTTCGTAGCCCACACTGCGCCCCCGGGGGGGAGGAGGGGGAGAGAGAGAGAGAGAGAGAGAGAGAGAGAGCTGAAGCCCTCCATCATTCCGTAATGGAACAGCAGGTATCGGTATCTGCCAGCGGGACGAGAGCCAGGGCGGAAACAGAAACCAACTGTCTCATAACATCAGTTTCATTAGACAGACGAGGAACGTTGAGTGATCTGAAGTAGGTCGTGCACAAAACATCCAATCCCTCCAGGCTGGGCAGCGTGTTACGCTGGTTTCCCTCGAGAGACGGGCAGTGAGTGAAGACTCCTCTGGATCAAATACATATGGGATGGATGGATGGGATGGATGGATGGATGGATGGATGGATAGATAGATGGATGGATGGATGGATGGATAGATGGATGTATAGATAGATGGATGGATGGATGGATGGATAGATGGATGTATAGATAGATGGATGGATGGATGGATGGATGAATAGATGGATGGATGGATAGATTCCAATGGATTATGGTACACGTGTGCTGCTGCTGTAATGGTTGAATGATGAAGAAGCGTCACTAGGTGGCAGCAACTCATACAGTGGTTTGAATTAGAAGCAGGATGAAAACTGCAGATAGATTCCAATGGAATATAGTACACGTGTGCTGCTGCTGTAATGGTTGAATGATGAAGAAGCGTCACTAGGTGGCAGCAACTCATACAGTGGTTTGTCTTGGCTACTCACCCCTGATCTTTCACAGAAGATCTTGATCCCACCAAAGGAGACTGTCAAGAAGACCCTCTGCTTGTGCTCCCCTTTGGAACGAGCCGAAGAAGCCACTCCCTGCGAAGGATTAACGATAACATAGCATGAAGGAAAGAGCTAAGAGTGTACAACACATAAATACACAAGGAAAAGTCATGCGAGTATTAGAACGGCTAAACGTTAGCCGACATATCACAAAATAGCTTTATAACAGCTTAAAGTTAGTCGGAATTGTAGCTAAGTCGGTTGCCGCAATAACTTTAGCATAAACAACAAATCATAGTTCAGCTAATCAATCAAGACAAAATGACCAAAAACAGCTATCTCAACGGTAGTTAGCTTTAATTCGATTATTTTTATAAGTTTGTACATATAATTACGCATTTATTTAAATTAGCAACCATGATGAAACAAATAAAAATAGCTCGGAATTTGCTAAAAAGCAAAATATATGTTAGGAGTTATTTAAAGGCGACGCAGAGCGAAGTGAACGAGAGAGTGGCCGACAGACAGGGGGAGACGGTGAGACAGTGAGAGATGCCACGAAGCATGAGCCAATCAGCGTGAGGAACAGAAGAGCATGCTCAATTAGCCAATAGTACACAGAGTACACATTTTAATAGCCAATAGTATTGCTGTATACGATCTTGTCTAGGTAAACAAAGCTAGCCAGCGCTCTTTCGCAAATGCGAAAACTTTCAGATGTATAATTATTTTATCATGTCTTTTAGTTAATGTTTCGCAATATTTCGCGAGAAAAAAAAAACCATCTGCGATGTAAATAGCGTTAAAGTGCGTTGCCATCCAGTTAGAGGGAAATGGGAAGACGCAGAGTGAAATAAGACAAAAGAAATAAGACAAAAGACCAGAAGGACTCGCCTGCTGTGTTGGAAACTGCTCACAGATGTTTACTTAACACATCCTGTTCGTCATTTAACCTTCATCTGAGACCAGTCTTTCAGAGCGAGCTAATGTTTAACACTGAAAGTGTTTGTTTTGGGTTTTTTTTTTTTAAAGGAAACTTGAAAATTGAGAACGAGAGGATTTAAGAGATTTTAAGGACCAGAAAATAGGATAAGAACAAGTGAAGTGAGAAAGAGAAGGGGTTGATTGATGCTGTCAATCAGCAAAGACCCTTTCCTTTATCCCCCTGTCCAGATAATAGCAGGTCTGTATCGACCCTGTCATTGACTCTAACCGGCTGTTGGTCGGTGACCTCTGGAGTCATACAGAGGGCACGAATCAGATGTCAGAATGAGGCTTCGAATAATCCTAGAGTGCGCTCTAGTGGCTGTCAGTGTGAAAACAACAAACATGTACATTTTCAGTGGTACAGGAGTGGTAAACAAGCCTAGAGCGCCCTCTAGTGGCTGTCAGTGTGAAAATAAAAACCGTGTGAAATTATGTATTTTAATATATAAGTCACAATATAGAGCTATAGATATAGAGAGTCGGCACCTTCAGCTTCATCATGGAGTCCTGGCACAGCTTGTCCCCGCGCGCCGCCGTCACCTCATCAATCCCGATCAGCTTGGCTTTGTACCGCACACCATCACCGCGGAAACGCTTAATAAGCCCCGTCTCGCTACGGTCCTGACCTGAAGACACAAGACACAAAGAGTGCAAAAATGGGTTATTCCGTAAATAATTATATAAAAGAACATTAGGAAATTACGTGCAGAAGCAGAGAACATTCGGAGAAAAAAAAAAAAAAATTGGAATGGAAATTGAAATGCTGGTTCCACTCTAAATTCAACCAGCAGCTCCAAAAAATACAGGCTTTTATTGGGGGGGGGAATCAACTCCAGTCCAGCGCTCACCCACAATGCCCCCTCGAACCCCTCCCAACAAAAATACAGGCTTTTATTGGGGGGAAAATCAACTCCAGTCCAGCGCTTACCCACAATGCCCCCTCGAACCCCCCCCCCATCCCAATCCTTGAGCTTGATGGATGTTTTCGTGGTGTCGTGGAGGTGATGTGAAATCTTGCCAAGTGATTATTCTGTCTGTCAGACTCTGCGGCTGCCCTGTCACCGCCTCGACACTGATACCTTGTTCAACACGCCGCGTTCCCTCGTCCCGTTTTGATTATGCGGGGGGGAGGGGAGGGGGGGCGAGCAAGGCACTCGCTGTCTTCGGACCGTCGCCTCATAATCTGTGCGAGCCAGCGTCAACACTTCAACGCTGAGGCCGCCTTTGTAGGTTAAGAAAAAAAAAAAAAAAAAAAGGATTTCAAATCAAGGTCGCCATTTCCTTTGTACGTGAAGAAAAAAAAAAAAAAAACAGGATTTCAAATCAAGGTCGCCAGCACCTTGGAGAATTGAACAGTTCCAGGCCCCTCGGTTGTTCATTTCTAGGTCAGAAGCCCCCTGTACCATATGAGTTAACGGCACATTTAAGCGGCTGGATGCGTCGATCACGTGATGCTGAACAAAAAAAACAAGGAATTTTGATTTTTTTTTAAAATTAATTTTATGTAAAAATGTGGAAAAATCATTTGAGCTCTTAGGTTAATTTTTTACATTTTTTTAATATATATTTTATATTTGGTGAAGGTAATAATTTTGAGTTAATGTGTTGAGTTGACTGTATCGGTCCCCAATCCCTGGTTCGGGGGCCGGTGCCGGTCCGTTGGTAATTTTGTACGGGACACATCAAGAAATGTACAATGGTCCGTTTCTATATCGCGGTTCTCCTTTCGCTCCCTCAATACATTGCAGATTTTTTTAAAAATCCGATTTCGCGAAATATAGCAAAAAAATTACAAAATAATTATACAGTACATACAAACGTTTCGGAATTAAAAATTTAGATAAGCGCATTTGATAACGACCGCTGGCGACTTTGTTTACCTATGCAATACTATTGGCTAATACACGCTAATTCACGCTGATTGGCTCGTGCGTCCTAGCATCTCTGAGCGTCTCCCCTCGCCTGTCTCTCTCGTTCACTATTTTCCTTCTACTTCGTGATTTGTCCCATTTCTCGCGGTGGGTCTTGGAATGCTTGGAACTACCACGATGGGAGAGACATTGAGACATTAATGAGAGACAAAGTCAAAGTCACGGCACATGCAGAGGACCTCCGATTTGTGTGATAACTAGTGCTGCTTCAGAACGTGCTCCGACATCCCCCCGTCTACGTCGAACTAACTCATGCACTTTGTAATGTAATGTAAAATGCATGCTGCTCCAGTTGCATTTTAAAAACGGGATCACTCGGATTTCACCGCGGACTTTGTGTACTATTTGTTTTTCCATTACTCCTGATAACAATTCAGGATTTTTTTTT